TGCACTGCCCAGCGGGCTGGTCTGCTCCAGAACAGCCACACACACAGGTGGGGTCATTGCCCAGGTACAGCCACACACCAGCAGGACCATCCAGCAGCAAGACACAGGAGATGAGGGCTCTCTCCTGCCTGTGCTATCCACCCCGGGGAGCAGAGGTGAGCTGCCCTAGGAGCAGATCTCTGGGGCTTGGGCTGCATCTAAGAGGATCTGAGCTACCAGCTGCTTAGCTCAATGGGCTTTGCTGACGATCCCATAATAGGATTGGGGTGAGGAGAGGCTGGAGGACAGCACCCATGGTAGGGCTGGCTGTGGAGGAAAAGGGCTCCCAGCCAGATCCCCCTGTTCCCACAGGGCAAAGGTCCTGTGGTCCCGTGTGCTCACCTGGATGACATTCTGGACTCTGTGGGTTGGGCTGGTGGGGGTCCTGCCAGATGCCTCCATGATCCCTGCCTGGAGATACTGGATGCTTCTGGGCACAGGCTGCTGCCAAAAGAAACAGAGAATGGCAGCACAAGTGACCACAATGGGCATGGCCTTTATGTATTCCTCCTGCACATCACAGACTGAGCATAAACCCTACCCATTCCAAACCAGCATTTGCCACCAACAGGATGCCCATCCTGAGCTCCTGTTTCCAGCGTGTCAGCAGCTGCCTGAAGTCAGTGAGCATCCCTGCCTGCTGAGGCACACATCCCCATCTGCCCAGGGAAACCCACACGCATGCCAGGTGTCAGGACAGACATGGTCCCAGAAGGAGACAGCATACGTGCTCAATTTTGGGGAGGTGGTGTAGGAAACACACACCCTAAACATCAAGAGCGGTGGACAACCAGACCCCCAGTGGCCACCAGTGGACAAAGACACACAAGCACAGGATCTGGTTGTCCCCAGCAACACCTGCCTGCCATGTGTGGCACAACCCAGGTACCCCTGAGCATGTCACCAGTGCCCATTCCCAGCACCCAGGCACACACCTCTGCTCCCACACAGCCCAGCAGCAGCTCGGGGTAACACAAGCTCGGCTGTCTGTGCCGTGTCCCCGCTGAGGTGGCACACAGGCCCGTGGCTGGCAGGGCTGGCTGCCCCTGGAGTAGCTATGCTGCCACTCATTCTCTGCGTGGGTGGGAGGCAGTTTGGGAAGGAACGATTTCCGTCACCCGGCGCTCACGCCATGTCGGGACGCTCCAGGGTTACTAAATTTACCGTCTGCTGTTCCCCATGTCCCTCCCTTCCGCCCAGGACTGGCCAAGTGCAGCTTAACCCTTCCCATGCAGCCCAATCAGAGAGTACTCTATCCCCGTTAGGGATCTCGATCACAGGCCACCAGGAGGAGATCCAGGCTCAGCCCCTGGGAGCATTGCCCGCTGTCCCGCCAACCCCCGGAGGGACCCCCGCAGCTCGGCCAGCACCGGGCTCAGCTGCGGGGGCGAGTGAGCGGCTATTACACACTGTGGAAAAAATGAAATGCTGGAAAACACCAGCCATGGGATCCAGGGCTGGGATGAAGCCCATATCTCCTACGACACCAGAGTTGGCTGCCCCACAGCAAGGTCTCCTTGGGGACCATAGTCACCCCACACAGAACAGCGACAGCTCAGCTGGGGCAGGAGGAACCAGAGATGCAGTACCCCAAGAGCAGTTCACCAGTGCCCACCAGCTGCCTTCCCTTACCTGCCACCTGGTCCTGGAGCTGAGTGGGACCCTCCAAGGCAGGGTGCCCATGTCCCCTAGGCACTGGGATGCTGCACTTCCCAGCATCTGGAGACCCTGCAGCCCAGCTGAGCCCCTACCCCTTGCTTGCACACAGACCCGTCACAATGTCTGGAAAGGAGGAAAAGCCAGGAGGGGCCAGGCTGCTGCACAGGAAGGGAGTGGGGCCAGGGTGGGATCCTACGCCCGTGTTAACTCCTTCCCAGCACAGCTGTACTGGTGAGACCAGGTGAGAACCATGGGGGACCCCTGTCCCTTGGGCGATTGTCTGCCCACACCCTCCACCTAACACCTCCCACTCCACAGGCAGGCTTGACTGCCCATGAGCCGGAGGGTGACCCTGGCATCCCACCGCTGCCCGATGCACCCTGTCCTCCAGCACCGCCCTCCATCGGAGCCCCTCACCTGGCTCCTCACCACGCAGGGGACGCCTGCCGTTCCTCCCAGCCCGTCCCGCTGGGGATGCAGCCCCTCTCCAACCGGCTCTGCCGTAGGAATGCGGGGCGGGAGCGCAGCCGCCCCAGCCGGCGCCCCACTGCTGGGATGGACAAGGCAGCCTTTCTTCTCCCACCGCCGCCTGCAGAACGCGCTGCTTGTTCCCGCCGTGGGAAGCGGTGAAGGCAGCAAATGCCAAGGGGTCGGGCTCGGTTACCGCCAAACAGCCCACGGTCCCCGTGCACCCCGCGCGCAGGGCTGCCCACTCAGCCTCAGCCTCCTGGAGGACAAAAGCCCCTTTCTTCCTCCCGGCGCAGCCGAAAGCCTCACCTGGGAGGACGCCTAGCCCCGCCGATGCGGGGGTCCTGCCAACACCGGGCGGGCTGCACACAGACACGCTGCCCCACCGCGCCCCTGCACCCCACTGCCCGCAGGCTGCGACCCCCCACAGGGCAGGGGGTGCTCGGGGGTCCACTCCTCCCGACCTGCTGCTGACTCCCCAGACCCAACCTGGGCACAGCACGCTCTGCCTCGCTCCCCATCAGCATGGCCAGGTGCCAGCAGCAGGCAGGCAGACCCCAGAGCTGCACCGTGTGCTGCTGGCCAGGACACACTCTTGAGGGAGCACAGCCTGGCAGACCCTGCCGTGCGGTGTCAGCCATGCCTGGGACGCAACATGGAAGAGGCAGGCACATGGCACCCCTTGCCGTGGCCTCTCCTCCCCACTCGTGGCCGGGTGAGTCACAGGAGGCGCTGGAGTGGCCGAGCTAACGGGTGCACACGGCAGAGCATCGCAGCCTCCGGCCAACTTGGCTGCCTGCTCGCTCCCCATCTGCTAACGCAGTTAGGGCGCGCTCACCCCTTCCCACACCCTCTGCCCCGGTAAACAACCAGCCCTTCCGGCGGCAGCTGGGAAGGGGGAGCCCGTCTCCAGCACAGAGCCAGAGGGCAGCGAGGAGCCTGCTCCTGGCCGCTACCTCCGGGTCTGGGGCTGACCCACAGCGAGCAGGGGAGACTCAGCCGGCCCCATCCCACCCAGGCAAGGGGCGGTGGGGGCTCCATTGCGGTTGCTAGGACAACGCCACGATCCTGGCAATAACACCACCGTAAATCAGCCGCCAGACAGCTCCAGCGGGAGCCGAGGAATCCCGGCCACACCCGCTGATTTCATCGCTCCCGGGAAGTGCTCCCGCACCACTGCAGCACAGCTGTGCTCCTGCCGAGGCCCTGCCAGCATCACACCTCGGGCTCTCCACAGACTGGGGGTTGCCCACCATGTACTCAGGTCGGAGAGGGCGTACAGCCTTGCTTTCCTGCACCCAACGCTCCCCCAGGTGAGCCAGCTCCAAAGGCTTCTGACACCATACGCAGTCCCAACCACTGCTGCAGCTCGAGCACCGACCCCAGCATCAGCGTGTGCCTCCAGACACTGCAACACAGACAGGGAAACCTCCACCATGAGCTCCAGACCCCTCAAGGCTGCACAGTGGAAAGCTGCTCCTCAGAACACTCTTCTGTCCGATGATGACTTCTCAACTGCAGGCCAGAGACTCAGCTCAGCGAGGAGCCTCTGTGACTCCCACTAATGACATCTCACAGACATAGCTTTGGTGGGTCTTGAATCCAGCCCTTGGCATGAACTCATCACCCAGCCCTGTGTTTGCTGGGAGAGGGGCAGGGTGAACCTCCCCTCTCCAAAACAGGCATCGAGCACTCTCTGGTGTCTGGCTGACAGCAAGGACCCCTTGCTGTGCAATCCTGTGGGTCCATCCCCCTGCATGGCACCCTGCCCTGCTGCCCCCCCATATACCAACACATAGCACCACAGAGCAAAACCCAAACATACAAGGAGTTACCAAAAAAGCACCCGACAGTGCTGCCTCACGTCTGAGCTGCCTGTGGTGCCTGGCCAGGGGAGCTGCCCCCCTGCAGCCTGCGCCTGGTGCCCAGAGAGGGCTGGCAGCTTGCAGGGCAGCTGGAGGAATGGGGGAGAGGGCGGCCCTTCGGCACAGCAGCTGGACCTTCTGGGGCTGCCAAATTCCTCTGGCTTTCTGACAGCGGCTGAAGGGGCTGTGGCAGGAACGTGGCAGGAAGCTGGAGTAAACAAAGTCCAGCCATGGAGCAGGGTCCGGCCAGGCCAGCACCGTTCCCAGGCTCCCCAAGAGGATTCAGGGACAGCAGAGGTGGCCTCAGGCCAAGCACCATCTCCCCCTCCAACTGCCCTCCAGCTGCAGCAGGATTTGGATGGGAGAGCCTTGTCCAGCCTCCCACAGAGACCATGCTGCTCTGGGGGCTCCCACACCACCAAACTCACCACTGATGCAGACTACTGGACCCAGACCCAGCTCCCAGTCCACCCACACACCCCTAAAGCATTGTGCACTGACCAGTTGTATGGCTGACGGGGTCTTTCCTACTTTACTGCCTGCAGCTCCTTCCTTGCTCCCCTCCCAGAGTGCCCCGGGGGGCAGGGATCCCAAACACGTTCCACGCCCTGACAGGAGCCAAGGCGGGTAAGCCCCTTCCCCTCGCCCCCGCCACATCACAAAGCTGCCCCCAAAGCACTGAGAAGGTCCCTGCAGGGCAGGACACGCTGAAACCAGCCTCACAGGCTCCCCAACGCAGGGGTCGCCTGGGCCACGAGTAGGGGAGGGTCCCACCCCATCCCGGCAGCCGCTCACCTTCACTCCCCTGGACAGGCAGCCTCTCCCGGACTCTGCCGCCGCCGCTCCGCTGTCCGACACCGTCCGCCACGGCCGTGTCCCCGCCCCGCCCGGTGCCGGCCCCGTCCCGCCCCCGCGGGGCCTGGGCTGAGCGGCCCCGGCTCCGGAAGGACCTCACGACCCCCAGCCAGCTCCTTTGACAGTACTTTATTTGATTAGACTCAGTATTCTCTGTGTACACTGGAATGTGCTCTATTCCCTAGGCCAGGATCATATGGGGTTACAAAAAGGGGAGATCTCAGCTCGGTTTAAATATCACCCTCCAACGAATGTAAGAAAAAAAAAAAAGCTCCTTGGATGCTTGAACTAGCCTCGACTCCATTTTAAAAATCATACAGACAAGCAGCTCTGGAACAGGACCAGGTTACTGGGATTCATTGCCTACTTTGCTAGGGAGGAGGGTTTGCCCTCCCAGGACAGGACCAGGGTTGATTTCTCTCTCAGGTGCTGCCAGCAGAGGAGAGACCACGGACTTCTTTGGCAGAGGACCCCAGGGGCCCATGACAGGCTGGCTGTCTCTCACAGAGCACAGTACATGCACTTCTAGGGCCTTTGCCTTCCACACACACACTCAGGCCCTCCGGCCAGAGGTGAGGTGTGCCCGGGGGCAGGTGACACTTGTGACAGGCTCCAGCCACACAGGTGAGATGAGTTGTGAGGGGAGCACAGGTCTGTGAGATGAGGCAAATAATGCTGGTGAGGCAGTGGGGAGAGGAACAGCTCAGATCAGCCCCCATGTTTCCTGGAAAACAGCGTTTCCTTCTCCCCCACCTGCCAGCGCTGAACAAACACTGTTTTGGGACATGTTCTGACCAGCAGGCAGAGTTACCCGGGTTCAGCTCCTTTTACCCAGGCAGGAAAAGCATTCTGCCTCCCCAGATACCAAAAGGGCCTTGCAAAGGACACGCAGCTGGTTCTAACCTAACTAAACCTCCTCCAAAGCCTGGCCCAAGAGCAGCTGTGGCAGACAGCGAGGACACAGTCCCCTATGGAAGCTCTCCCCCTGCAGCAGGAGCCAGAGCACCTGGAGCTGAGCCATCGCAGCACAGCAGGGCTCAAGGAACGGCAGTAACCTTGTGGGGCAAAAGGACCAAAGCCCCTGGTCCCTCTTACCCACCCTGTGCCCCTGCTACGATCTCCCCACCTCTGAGGCCAAGGGCAACTTGCTCAGCAGCCCCACACACGTTCTCTCAGTGCCTGCTTTCCTCAATGGAAACGAGAGCTGGAGGACGAGGAGAAATCAAAATGTAAGCACCAACAACGGAACAGCATGTGACGCTTTGGGAGGGTAGGGAACGATGTCTGGTCGGCTCTGGGGCTGAGCTCCGGGCGTCGCCAGGGGAGGAGGGAACACATCAAAGTCAGGCTCTCTGCGGAGATCTTGCTTTTCTGCCGGCCGGTAAAAATCTGCCAAAGAAATTTGTGGCCTTTCCCCCCACGAGCACGTCAATTCTCTTCCAAAAATGTCTGTGGCCCAGGAATGCTGCAGATGGCAGACGGAGCCACATGTCCTAGCAGAGGGGGCTGCGGCGTTCCCAACATTCAGAATAAACGTCGGTCTCTTTTTTTTGTTTTAATTTAAAAAATTTCTTCCTTTGCGCTTCCCCACGTCTAGCATTACAGGATTTCGTACTTGTCCACCAGGAAGGTGGTTTCAGTGGAAAACCTTACAGGGCTGTTCCCGTCTACCTGGGTCACTTTGGTAACCTGTGGAGACAACAAGCAGTGTTAGCTCAGCATCGAACCCCGTTCCCCACCACAGCGATGCTGTGTTTCCCAACACTGGAATGGTCATGAGGGAAGAACTGACCCGGCACCTTTAAACCACAACTCAGCCCTGAAACAAAGACCTTTGTTCCCAGGAAACCTGAAAGAGTGATCTTCTGTGGTAACTGTGTCTCCACTGAGGAGTGAAAGGGCAGCTGCTGGCTACACTTCAGTGGGGGCAGACAGTCATATGCTGAGCAGTGTTTTGGCTCCAAGGCCGATGGATTCTCTAATGAAGTCTGAGGGGAATTAATGATTCCTCAGAGGCATGAAGGCACAACTGAAACTGCAGGCAAGCTCTGGGAGGTGTCAGCTGCCAGTGCTGTCTGCTGGCACTCCCAAATCCAGTTATCTCAGTAGCAAGTAAATGTCAACCCCTCAGCCATGGCCAGTGGGACAGCAATGCCCCGCTGCAGCACGGCCAGTGTCAGTCAGACAGGGACTGAGGCAAGAGTGACATCACACCTGTGGAGCACCAGCAGTGACCATACCTGTATGTTGCAATAGTTCTTTTTGGAAACGAAGGTGACTTGCACCGGGAAGAAGTCGTTTGGCTGCCCCGCTATGCTGAACTCCAGGCTGCCACTCTTGTTTTTGGCATCTATCACTGGCAGGCACCACTCGAGGAGGTTTCTCCGGCTGTCGTGGCGATACTCGCCATCAATCTCCCCAATCACTGGGGTGCCGACACCAGACCTAGAGCAGGCAATGAGAAGTGAAAATAACTTCCCTGCATGGAGCTAAGAAAGTGCCTGTAACACCTGTCAGCTTGACCAGACCCACAAACCAGGGAGGAGAAGGAGGTGGACTTGTTAGTGCTGCTCGGACAAGGAATGTTACTTACGGCAAGGGGATGGTGATGATCACATCGTTCAGCTCTAGGCTCTCCTCTTGCAACTCATATTCAATGTTGACATCACAACTGTTCCCGCTCTCTGAGGGCCAGCAGTTAACTGTGGGCACAGAGACAGTGTGTGAACCACGCAGGCCTTCCACATGAAGCAGGCTTTCACTTCGAAATGCCCAGCCAAGTCATCCCCTAGAAATTCTGACTTTAAGAAAAGCTCTGTTTTCTTTGAGAGCATTACAAAAAATGCACACTGCTGAGGGCAGGCACTGTCCACTGGATACATACAGGATCTCCAAGGTCTCACACTGTGCCATGCTCCAGGCAGCCCAGCTGCCGCAAGGTGGATACAAACAAGCAGCCCACAAACATCAGCCTCTTCCACCAAAGCTCCCAGACTCGCACTCACTCGTCAATGGAATGAAAGACTCTTCCGTGGTCTGCAACCTCCACTTCAGCACACCCACGTCACTGTTAATAGGGAATGACTTCTCTGGGTTCTTCAAACCAATCTGTGACTCTGTAGTGAAGAGCTTCTTGTCCACGTTTGGGTGAGTCTGAAAGAAGAACACATGTCCAGGCTGTAGGTAAGCCCAAGGACAGAACTGTAGGTAATGCAGGTTCTACCAGGACAGGCCTACAGAGTGTTTTTCTTGACAAAACACACATCAGGCTTGCTCCTGGCTCAGAAGTCCATCTGGAGCACACCTGCTTATCAACTTGGGATTCCTTGCAGGAAATGCTGATCTGACAAGAAGGATCCACATCACTGCCATTCTTACATGTCACTGCGCCAGAGACTCTAGCAATACATGCCCTGGGCTGGTACTTACAAAACAACTCCTCAAATCCTAAAGAACATACTGCAGGTCCACAGCACACATTTCTCTTGAAGAAAAATCAACCTAGTGCTGCTGGGAAAAACAGTATGAAACCACACTACTATGACCTCCCTCAGCAACCTTAACGCACGTATGTGTCAGAAGCCAAACTCCATTTAAACACACGCTTCACAACTGTGAGCATGAGCAGCTTTTTGGAAGCAGAGGCTTTCTGCAAATCACTGTTAAGTTCCACTAGAAAAACAAGAGTCAGCACAGGGTTTGGCCTCATCTTCCACTCAAAGCAGTGCCCAGGGGCACTGCTGTTAGAGACTCACTCATGGGATGTGCTGGAAGTCGATTTGCAGTCAGTGATGTATGGACAAGCCCCTGGCAAGGGGTGACCCAGAGTGTGTCAAAGCAACACCACCTCCAGGGATCAATATGGTCATACAGAAAAATGGAAGGACAAATCTCCCAAGAACCTTCTGAGCTGCTACTACCGACTGTGATCAAGTGCTCCAGCAATCATCCCAGGTACAGCAGTGACAGGACAAGGGACCCCAGGAAGAAATGGCTCCAGAGAGAATAAATTCATTCCCCATTGTCACAGAAGTTTGTTCACCTACTCCCAGTCCACAGCTGCAACTGACATCACACAAACAGGCACCAAGCAACACACTAGGCTGCTGCAAAGTCCAAGTGAGGTCACCCAGCATGCCAATGTGCACTGCTGGGCAGATAAGGCTCCAACGGCAGGATGGCAAGCACCGAGACCGCATTTCTCTAGTGAACTTCAATCCTTTGAGCATGACTGGCCCTGCACTGAGTACTCCCATTTCCAATGCATTTGCTGAGAAAGCTGGATGAGAATACAGGACAGTAACATGCTCAAATGTTTCCAATTTTTTTTTCCCTGGAAAACAACAAAAGCACGTTCAACAGCATAGGACTCCAGATAGGCTTTACCTGCAGCTGCACTCCCCTCTTGTCTTCGTTTTCTACATGCAGGCGAATCCGTGCAAACTTTTCATCGGAGATGTGCAGCATGATCATGCCATGCAGCTCCATGTTCTGCAACCCTCCATCACGGCCACAAGTCAAGGAGATTTTCTCCTCTATTTTCATGTGCACACTAGACAGACAGAGAAAAAGCTCAAGTCCTGTGCTCATCTCCCAGGCAGCAGAGAGATCAGTGCTCAGGAAGGACAGGCTGTGCGTACTGAGCAAGAGCTCCTGAACAGAACAGCATGGCCAGCGCCATGGGGGCTAATGCTGCTCTGACAGGTGAACTCAGGGGCAGGAGAATCCATGGATACGGGTCTGCAAGGGATGGGACCCCAGTTAAACAGCATGATGCAGCACCTCAACATGTTGGTCACTCAAATCCCCTCTGCCAGGCCACAGCACTCCAGGCACTAAAAGCTTCTGAACTGCTGCATGTAAAATGAAGCGTGAATGCCTCCATCCCGAGTGGCAATGAGGCAGGGAAACAGGGAAAACAGTGGCTATTTGAAGGCAAAAGGCACAGAAAATTCCCAACCTCAGCTCAACAATGGATGGACGTCCCATTTTAGTTAGGAAGATGCCTAACCAAAGCTATTTACTTTCTTGCTGCCATGCTTTCCCAGATTTTGCCCACCGACTCATAGTTACAAGGTAAGGGAGCACAGGAAAAAGCCTAAAAGGAACAGGAAGGCTCTCTCCCAGGGCCACACACAGGGAGAGCTGTGAGGAGACCACTTCCAAAACAAGGGCAGCACTCACCTCTCCATGTTAACAGGAGGAGCGAGAACTTTGGCTGCTTCCGCAGAGCGCTTGCCTACAGAAGTCATGATATTTTCTCCTTCTGATTTCAGCTTGTCCACAAAGTTGTCCACCTCCTTCCCCTTAGCGCCGAGCTTCAAGGCTTTACTGGGACCTGAAGGTCTAAACAGAGGTCAAGTCAGCTCACTGCAACAGGTTCCTCCTTCCTGGTTATCTTCAAGTACTATAACAACCATCCCAACACCACACCATTCACTTTGGAACCCTTTATTGGGGAGAACATGCACAGTACTATTGTCTTACGTGTGAGGTGCTAAGCTATAATTTAGATCTGGATTCTGTTCTGTGTATTACCAGGAGTTGAGACCTCTTTTTCTCACACAAAATGGGAAGCTCATTGCTTATCCAAGATTCCAGGGAGACTACAAGGGGTGTTACTGTGGTATATGGCACAAATGCTCCTCAGCAGTTACACAGATGAGGAACCTGTGTTAGAACTTCTCTTTGGGCACATAGTTTGAGCCTCCGCCGGCTCCAGAGAACATTTGCCACCTGCTGTCCCCCTACCTGGCTGGTGCTGGTGCCACTTTGGGCTTCTCTGTCTCAATGATGGTCTCTGTGATCATTGCTGCCGTCGTGCCCCCAGACACGGCCGAGCTGCCGAAGCCCCCAAACCCGGGTGCCTTCTTGCCGTGTCTCTCTGCATCCCTCCTGGCCTGCTGCAGCTCCTTTGCTTTACGGCGCATCTCAGCTTTTGCTTCGCGTTCCTGCGTCTGAAAGAAGAGACAGGAGGCTGACGGAGCTTTGCAACCTCAACTTCAGCCTGGCACAGGAACTAAGTGCAGTTGCCCACAAACCCCTTGCCAACAAAAATGAAACAAGATACAGGTTTAGACAGATACAGAATACAAGTTTACAAAAAAGCTAAATAACTGTATGGCCTACCAAAGTGGAGGAACACCTCTGTATAGCAAAGGCGGCATTTCCCAGACATGACACCTTGTGCCAAGCTCGCAGGTGTCCGTGCTCACCTCTCGGACTGCCCGGAACACCTTTTCCTCATGCGAGTCCATCTCAGTGAAGGTCCGAATTTGCGCCAGATTTACATTCTCGCGGTAGCCCAGGGCGACGATTTCATCAAATGCAAAGATCAGGTCAAAGCAGTGTTCAGAGATCTCATTCTCCTCCAGAGCTCGACAGTATTCAGGGATCTAGTAGGAGAACACATTTTAAAGGAGTGCCCACAGAGAGTACTGTGTAAACACTTTCCTTCTGCCATCCCAGAGGTCACAGCTGTGCTGACCCTCCCAACCCCAGTGCACCCTTCCGCTGCTCCAGGTACCATTAAGCTGTTGATAAACAAGATGAAGTTTTGCCATTATTAGTTTTTCCACAGTAAAATCCTTAGAGAACCTCTCAGCTTCCTTGTAACACTAACTCAGAGGAGCCAAACTGCATGCTAGGGCCAGCAGATTTCCTGAAGATAGTTTGATTGTATGAAGACACAAACTTGCTTCTTCAGGATCCCTGCAAAGCAACCTGCACTTGTAACATCATGTTACTTTTTGAAGTAATATAAGCCTTAGGTTAATAATACAGAGAACGTTTAATGCTAAATTACGATCAGCGCTTTGGTCTCATCAACTGAACTACAACTGAAGATTTCTTATGTAGTAGTTCAAAACTACCACGAAGACTTCGGAGCTTTCTTCCCAGTCAGGAAGGGAAGCTCTGGAACACCAAGCTGCCAGGTAGAGGCAGGCAGTGCTCCAGCACCAGCTCAGAAACGGTGCCCCACAAGAGCGCCGTTCCAGGCTACGGCCACATCACCGAGTGACAGATCCTTACCACTCTAGAGAACAGCCGGAGTGTTTCCAGGTCTTCCAGGATGTTGCTGTTCTTGGTCGTGATCAGCACCATGTAGAGCTTCTCCATGGGCTGGTAGACGTACCGCACGCTCTCCGTCTCCACGAACGTGTGCTGCTTCCCCGTGTTCATCAGCTTTGGGAACGCCGCCAGCAGCCCCTCGATGCGGGTGCGGGTCATCTCCACGAACTGCCGGGACACGATGGCCTTCCCCGCCTTCGTGCATACGGCGGCTGCCAACAGCACCTGGGCGAGCAGAGCAGGTGAGCCTGGCCCACAGAAAGGATCACTTCCCACCACACCTTACCTGCATGCACTCAGAATGTGATTTTATGTCTTTTTCTGTGACTGGGAACTGAATTATGCAAAGAACAGAGATACCTTTGTTTTTCTTTCTCTGTCTCTCCCCATTCCATGTTCTGTCCCTACGTTAACCTCAGAGCTCTCCCTGCTCCAGTCAGGCAAATGAACCCATTCCTGATTCCACACACACCCAGGTGTAACAACCTGCAGGAGCATCAGGGGAGGCTCCAGGAGATGGACTTTTTCATCAGGCTGCCCCAGCTTACTACACACAGGAACGCTGTGAAATGTGACATCTCTCCCAGTGCCACACGCACAGCACAGCCAGGTTGATGCAGCCCCGGTTATCACCCACAGGCCTCAGGTGCCTCCCGGGCAGCTCGCAAGCGTTATCACTCGCCGGCTGCACTTTGTCTTCCTTCTTCTCTCTGTCTGCCCAGACTTCCTCCCAACATTTCCCTCTCACAGATCACTTTCTTAATTACCTTTGTCAGAATAACGCTGTTCTGCACTTCAGAGCTTTTAAATCCCCAAACGGACAGAAAGTACCCGAAACCCTTCAACACGGCATCACTGGTCCCTGCCGCAGGCGGAGCCGTGCGCGGGGGGTCTGTGCTGATCCCCACACCGCTGCCACGGGGAAAAGGAGCCGGAGCAGCCCCGCGAGAAACAGAGCTCTCAGGGCCACAGCGCGGGGCAGGCGGGCACCGCCCGCCCGGCTACACCTGAGACCCCGAACGTGCAGCAGCCGGCTCAGGAAGCACCGCGGCTCCGAGACAGCAGGGGTGAGCTGCCGCGGCCCCGCCGGCATCGGGCGGCAGCGCCGCGCTCCGTCCCGCCAGGCCGCGGACTCCAGCGCCGGCCTGCGCGCGGGCCCGGCGGGCCCGGGGGCTGCCCCAGAGACTGCCGCGAACCCCGCGCCGCCCGCGGCGGGCGGGTCCGGCCCTTCTCTTACCATGGCGGCGGCGGCGGCGGCAGCGGGAGCAGCGCTCGGTCCGTCCGGTCCCCGGGCGGCCCCGCAAGATGGCGGCGCCGCGCCACGTCCGCACCCGGAAATGTCGTCACGGGGGGCGGGGAGGTGACTCCTCCCCGCCGCCAGGGGGCGCGCGCGCCCCAGGGCCGCTCTGGCCAGCCGGAGGGGTAGCGTTGCCATGGCGACGGCAGCGGCGCGAAGGGACACGGGGAGGGCGGAGGTGGGACACGGAGGGACCCGGGGGGACCCGGGGGGACCGGGGGCAGTGGATGTGGGCCCTGGGCCGCACTGCCCCTGACTTTGCCTCTCGGCGTAGCCCCGCCCGGTGGAGAACCAGCCGTACGACGAGAGCCTGGAGCTGCCCGAGGCCGATCCCGGGGCCCGCTCGCCACGGGCGGGGGGCGCGGGCCGCCCGCGGGGCTCCCGCCGGCCCACGGTGTCCGGCGGCGCCGCCGAGCGCGGGAGCGGCGAGCGGGGCGGCAGCGGGAAGGTACGAGCGGGGCGGGCGGGGGGACGGCCCGGCGACACCCGGGGACACCCGGTGAGAACGTGGTTCTCTCGCCCAGGAGGAGGCAGTGGCCCACCCCGCCGCCCTCAGCGAGGACGACGACGAGGACGATGAGGACTCGGAGGAGGATTCGTCGGAGAGCGACTCGGAGGATGACTCGGAGGAGCAGGGTGCCGCGCTGGAGGGGTGAGCGGCATTACCGGCTGGACGAGCTGGGGCCGGGGCTGGTGGGGGCCATACGGGACTCTGTGCTGATCCCCTGATCAACCCAAGGTGTCAGCCAGCCTTGGGAAGGACCATCTCAAACATGTCACTCAGCTCCTGATAATCCTCCTTTTCCAACGTTTTCAGCTCCAAAGCCATTGCTGTCCATACGTCTGCCTTTGTGCAGAGCACTTAGCCCCTTTCTGACAACTCTTTGTGGAGCTATATGATCACAACTATCCCTCACTCAAGTACTTTTCTTGGCCAGCAGGTCCAAGGCAAAACAGGGCCCAGTAGAACCTGCCACATATTAATCTTTGCCCATGACTCTCTTCCTTTCTTTAGTGACTTCAATCCAGCAGATTTTGACTACCTGCAAGTGTCTTCTGAAATCAAAGACCTCTTTGAATACATCAAGAGGTGAGTGGAAGGGTTTTGGCCTGCTCTTGGCTCTCTTTTGTGTCAATTACTGCAGCACAGTTCCTGGTCACAGATGCTGTGGTGGTGTTTTTTTGCAGGTACACTCCCAAAACAGTAGAGATCGAGCACAAGCTGCAGCCTTTTATTCCAGACTTTATTCCTGCTGTTGGGGATATTGATGCATTCCTAAAGGTACAGTTTCTTCAGGTTCCTGTCCTGGCCCTGCCCCGCGGGGCAGTGGGTGTGGTGGGGGCTGGTCAGGACATAATGGGCAGAGACCTGGAAAGGTACACCCGGTGGCTGGGTCACCTCTCACACAGCACTTAGGTAACTTGGGGTAAGGGCTGGGTTTTCCCTTCTCCAACACCACGTGCTGTTCAGGCAGCACTGTACTGAGTACACACATCTGAGGGAGCTCACGGAGAGGCTCTGTACAAACCTGCCCTGGACTCCGCAGAGAGGGCTCTGTTCTCCTGCAGGTTCCCCGTCCTGACTGGAAGCCTGACAACCTTGGCCTGCTGGTCCTGGATGAGCCCTCGACCAAGCAGTCAGATCCCACCGTGCTCTCTCTTTGGCTGACAGAGAACTCCAAGCAGCACAACATCACAGTGAGTCAGGGAGAGGGAGGTTGCACTTGCTGCACACTGCTTGGAGTGAAACCACGGCATTTTACTCTTACTTTTGTCTCTGTGACTCCAGTGTTGTGGTACAACTGAGAACTTGACTGTAAATGTAGCAAAAATGAACCTTTTGCTTTAATCAATAGCTTTAAACTGCAGCCAAAATGCAAATTTTGGTACAGACTGTGAGTCTGTTCCCTTCGGGTGATGCTTTATTTCCTTTTGGTTGTCCATACCTGGTTTTAGTTGGCGTTTTGCCTGCAGAAATCCATTGATAAAGTGCAGTTGGGAAAGAGAGAAGCCCTGGTTCAGCCCAGGAGCGAACACAGGGTTCCCAAAAAGCCTCAAAACACCACAAAACACTTCCAGGTTTATATTTGTGTTTTTAGCAGCAGATAAAAGTGAAGAGTTTGGAGAATGCAGAGAAGAACCCCAAAGCCATTGACAGCTGGATTGAAAGTATCAGTGAACTGCACCGCTGCAAACCTCCTGCCACAGTCCATTACTCCAGGTGATCCCTGACGTCAGCTCACCGCAGTCTGGCAGTGGAAGGTTGTGTGTGATCCTAAAGTTTGTTTTTCTCTTCCCTGGCAGGCCAATGCCTGACATTGAGACCCTGATGCAGGAATGGTCACCGGAATTTGAGGAGCTCTTGGGAAAGGTATGTTGTCTGAGTGATCAGTAATTAGCTCAACGCATGGACTTAGAAACCATCTGCCATGAAAGCCAGGTGCCTGCTCCATCCCAAAGCTCAGCCCGCTCAGATTTGTTCCTCCTCACCACTTCCCCCTTGCCAGAAGTCGGAGAACAGCCCAATGCTGGAATTCCCAGCTGCTGCCCCAGTGGCCTGCGTGTGCTCCCGGGCTCCTGCAGTCCAGGAGCAGAGCTGATGGCCCCGTCTGTTCCAGGTGGGCCTCCCGACCGCGGAGATGAGCTGTGACCTCACTGAATACATCGACATGATCTGTGGTGAGCTGGGGAGGCTGTGCTGGGGACACAACTTGCTGCTGGCCTGGCGCTCTCACTGAAAGCCAGAGGCTTTAGCTGGAGGCTGCTGCCTCAGTGGGAAATGGCTCTTGTACTGCAGGGGACTGCAGTCTTTGGTGCACGGAAGCCCAAATGATGGTGGGCAGTGGGGAGCTCAGCTCTTCCTGACAAGGGTGCAAGCCCAGGTGCCCTCACACACTGCTGCTCTTGCCCGTAGCCATTCTGGACATCCCTGTGTACAAGAGCCGGATCCAGCCTCTGCACGTCCTCTTCTCCCTCTTCTCGGAGTTCAAGAACTCGCAGGTAGGCAGCTCCAGCCAGGTGCTGCTCACCCAGCTGGCAGCATTGCCCAGGTCCTGTTTGGCTTTCTGGAGCAGTGGGTGTGTGCAAAGGGCTGGTGGGCCCTGGGAACCTGTTCTCAGCTGCTCCTGTCCCTGGTGCCTCTGCCTGACGCAGGGAGCTCAGCTGCGCTGCCGAGCTGGGGCACCACGTTGTTCAACAGGCCAGCACGAGCCAGAGCATGTTTCCTCGGGGCACTGCTGAGCACACAGCTCACACACAGCTGATGTGGCCAGTGTGTTCAGGTGCATGTGCTCTGAGCAACAGAGTCGGATATTTGCACGAGCACATTCTTTTCCCTGCAGCACTTCAAGCCCCTGGCTGATGGGCAGAAAGGCAGGAGCCCACCATCCAACCCACCCTCACAAGCGGCAGAGGCAGAGGTGGTGAGCTTTACCTGAAGCTTCACATTAAACCCTCATCTCCCGGGTCACTGTCTGCTGCTGGACACCAAGCTGTGCCCAGAGCAGGCTGTGAAATGTCACACAGCACATCAAAAGCCTCCTTGGTCTTGGAGACATTACTAGGCTGTTCTGTGTTTGGAGAGTAGGACTTGACTCATCATTTTTGTTGCAGAAGCTGCCTAATGGCTGTTTTTGACTTGTTCCCAAGGAGTTCAGCATTAAACCAGCCTTTCAAAGTGTCAGGCTCCCTGTGCTGTATGTGCTGCAGAACAGAGGTTTCTCGAGCACACGCTACAAGGTTGGAGCAAACAGGAATAAATTCCACACTCAGACACAACACTCAGATCTGCCCAGGGTGTTCCTAGTCTGACCTGGGGATCTCCAATCTGTCTGCCCCTTATTACTGAGTCCACTTTTCCTGTTCTCAAGCCCTTTATCTCCTGCCAAGGAAAATAACCTGCGCGGCACCACACAGACGCTCGAGTTTAGTTTATTGCTGTTGGAACGACTCTCCCCAGCCCCTGCCCTACTGCCTGCCCACCCATCTGCCACAGCAGCAGCAGGGGCAGGGGCAGAGAGGATCATGCAGCAAGCGAGTCACAAACCTGCTAAAGCAAGGCTGGTGCTTGGCCTTACCCTGGGAGGAATCACAGCACTAGAGCCTGGCTATAAAGAGCTTTGATGCGTTTTGATTATAACAGTCTATTGGGAAAGTGAATGGGCTACATAAAAACATGCCTTGGCTGACAGCACAGCTCCTGAGCCCTGCAGCACGCACTGTAGCACAGAGCCAGGGCTGCTCAGCGCCCACCTCCCAGAACAGCCTCCCTGGCACCCTTGGCTGCCCTGCTCCAGGGGCTGGTACGTACCTGGGGCTGGGCACCTGGCTCATGGGCACCGTGACTCACAGCCAGATCTCGTCGCTGCTTACACTGGGCACTTTGTAGATGCGCCCAGACATTGGGAGCTGAACAAAACCTGTAGGACAAACAGCTCATTGCCTTTTGGGGCAACCACGGAGCTCAGTATCCCACTGATACTGAGCGGGGCCACTCGCCCACCTGCACCTCCTCACCAAGCTTGTTGAGGACAAGGTGATTCTCCAGCCCTGGCAGGGCACTATCTTCTCCCCTGGCACCAGCTCCCACATCCTTGGGGGAAGCTGCAGGGCAGAAAAGGAACAAAAGCCAGGACATCTATCCCTCACCAAGGCAGCACTTGTGGCCCTATGTGTCTTGCTGCACTGGTACATTGGGGTTTTACCTCCATCCTCCTGTGCGAGGTCACTGAGGTGCAGGTCAGGCGGCAGGGACCGGGTCTGGCGGGGCAGGCGTGTGCCCTGGGGCTGTGGGTGCTCAGAGCCACTGCAACGGGAGCACTGGCTGGGCAGGCTGCTCCCTTCTGCTTGCCCTGGGCCTGGCACCAGCTTGGGTGAGCGGCACGCCAGGCAGGCAGCACAGGAGCCCAGGCTGAGCAGGGTGGCCAGGGCCAGTGCTGCTCCGACGGCAACACCCAGGAGGGGCAGCTCCACATGGGCATCCAGCAGACCTGCACAGACAGTGCAGCCCCCTCAGCACCCCTCTACACAGCTGCTGTGCTGTGCCCACCCCCCCAACAGCTACCTGTGGGTAGGAGGGAGGTGGTGGTGATGCCCACGCTGTTGGCAGCACTGACGGAGAAGTTCCCAGCCACACTGCT